ACTGCCCAAGAGCTCGTCCAAGAGGCCCCAAGAGGCCGCAATAGGGACCCCCAAAGGGGGCACCCGAACTGACATGTCGAACCCTTTCCCCTGAGAGCGTCATCAGGCCTCCAAGAGGTCCCCAATACTCTCTCAAGAGGGAGCCCCCGAAACTTCCTCCACGAAGCCGTCACGAGCCTTGTCCGGAGCCCCCAAGGAGCCTCCCAAAGACGCCTGTCGTCCACGACCCTGGCACGGTGACGGGTTCGGCCGAAGGACGCTGCACACAGTTTGGGCCACTAAATATCATGTGGGCCTGGCTGGTGCAAGACAGCCTTGATGAGGCTTCTAGAAGGCATGCTTCAATATGGGCTCTCGTGCTACAGTCAGCGCAGGCGGCATGAGCGCACCGATTGCATAATCAAGAGCGGTACGCACGACAGGACATGTAAAACGATATGGCCCCTGCATCGGAACTTGTATGCAAATTGCTTGCACGTCCGAGTGGAAGGGGCCATGCAATCTTTACCATGTCGTGACACCCGAAACACACTAGACGCAAAATATATCACTACCGTCCGCAGTGTAATTTCCGACACGAGGTCGACCGTGCAAACATTAATGTAACATTAGCTCTTAAGGGAACCACTCTGGTATATGACTTGAGCGAGCATGTAAGTACTTCAGAGAGAAGCTGTCGAGCAAATCCCCCCGCCGACTCGAAGGATAACGCAAAGATGATGGTGAAGGGGAACGGAAAGGGTGGAAGCAGACGTTCGATCCCGCCGATTACTCTTCTCCAAGACATCCGAGGTCTAGATCTTTTTTTTCCAGTGCGGGGCTCATGGAATGCCAGGCACCCCAGGGCCGGCTTCTCATCCCGAGTCGTCGCTTGGCGGTTCTGGGGCCTGGTGAGGGCCCCCCCGTGGCCAAACACTGTGAAACGCTCCTCCAAGACATCCGATGTTCAGACTTTCTTCAGTGCGGGGCCCCTGGAATGCCAGGCACCCCAAGGCTGGCTTCTCGTCCCGAGTCGTCTCCTGGCGGTTCTGGGGCCCGGCGAAGGCCCACCCGAAGCCAAACACCGTGAAACAGAACATGCCGTGTTTGTTAGTTGCCACGCCATCCGAGGTCTGCTAGATTTTTTCCAATGCCGGTCCCCTGGAATGCCAGGCACCCCAGGGCTGGCTTCTCATCCTGAGTCGTCTCTTTTGGCGGTCCCGGGGCCCGGCGCGGGCCCCCCCCGAGGCCAAATACTGTGAAATACAACATGCCGTTTTTTGTTGGTTTATGTTTTCTGTTGAAGATTATTACTTCTAAAGAATAATTATTGTTGGGGCCCCTGGTGCACGACCCCCCCGCCGCGCCTAGGCCGCAGCCTCATTTTCATCATTTTCGTGAGGAAGTCTCAAGCAAAACGGGTTGGTCTGGATCCGGTTGTGTTGTTACGATCGGTTTTCCCTTGCAAAAAATAAGCTAAAGTGGACATTTCTTGTTCTAACATAACCAAACTTCAAGAATCCCTTGCCAAAAAATAAGGTAAAGTGGACATTCGCGCGCGCAAGACGAAATCCTTCCAAAATCTTAGTTTTCGTAGCGATTTTAACATAAAAACATAAAAAACAAGGTTTTTTTTTCTTTTGTTTTAAATGTCAAAATTTCATCCCGCGCGCTCTTGCGGATTCGTAGGAAACCCAACACTTTTTAATCATTTCTGTCAAACGGGCTTTTGCGAGCAACTTTTTCGAACTTCTGCAACAACGGTTGCGCACCTGCCAGGGCCATCATCCCTGTCAAATAATACCATGCGGGACACATTCGTTTTTTCTTCGCGCGCGCACGCCGTCGTCGTCGGCCGCGGGGCCCTGAATAGTAGCCACGGTCGTCCGCATGCCACGAAGTGAAGTGTCCGAACGTCATAGGGCGGGAAGCTGGGTGTGGGTGGTGGCGAAGAGTCGTTTGGAAATTTGGTAGAGCTTGAACCGGCCCCCCCACAAAGTGGGGGTATTGCCCGCCTCCTATGAAAACCCTGGCACTGGTGAGAACGGTGTGTCCCCAAGTGTTAGTAATTGTTGTTGTTGTTGTTGTTGGTGGTGGTGGTGGTGGTGGTGGTGGTGGTGGTGCGTGTGTGTGTGTGTGTGTGTGTGTGTGTGTGTTTTCTGCCACGACGGGAGCACGTCTAGGCTCCCCTCCTCGCTCTCGGCCACGCGCCCGCGCGGAGGACAGTGATCCGTTTGCCCCTGCGAGCTGGAGGCGACTTGGGGGGGTCCGAGCAGGTCGGGCCCCGAGACAATGAGTAAGTCGGGCATGTCCCTCTACAGGTGGAATATTCAAAAACAGTCCAGACATAGTCTGGGGACGACTTTTGAACATTTTGGATTGTTTAGGGTTATTTCTGAATGTTTTCATTCTTCTTCCAAAATCCGCCTGTAGGAGGACATGCTCGATCTAAGACTGTGAGGGAGAAGGGGGATGCCAGATCCGCTCCAAATCGGTCCCCGGACCCCTCCTGGGGCCCATCTGGTGCATTTCTTCGGCGCGGGCCCGTTCCTGATGATACCTATAAGAACTGCAAACGGCCCCCGAGGACCGAGAAAAGCCCCAAACCCCTCGAACCCAGAACCTCGAACCTGGCCTTAGGTCGGGCACGCCCTCCTACAAGAACAATGAAAAATAGCCAAACCAGACTCGGAAACAGTCAACCATGGTCAACAAATCGCCCCCCGACGATGTCTTGACTGTTCTTGAATACTCCTCCTGTGCAGGGACACTCCCGACCTGAACCTGCCCCCCCCCCCCCTCCTGCTGGCTGGAACCCCGTGCGCTTGTTTGGGTGCCCCAAAAGGGGGTCCAGCTGAAAGGGGGTGGTGCAATAGATTTGGGGCAATCGTATTGCAAACGTATGGCGCCAGAGAATTGTATTGCATTGTATTGCAGCTAACGTATTGCACGCGAAAATCCAGCAATACATTTGCGCCCCGTAATGTATTGCACGCCCCGAACGCATTGCAACCCAACAAATCCATAACACCAAATCTATTGCACCACCCCCTTGTCGCTGGACCCCCTTTTGAGTCAACCCGAGCTTGGCCACCTCCGACCCACCAGCCGCCTCCGATCGGCGTGCAGCTCAGAAACGACTCGGCCTGCTGAGCGCGAGTTACCCACGCCCCTCGGAGCGCGCCTCGGGGTGGTGCCACGGTGGAGGCCTCCTGGATGGGGTCCGAGCAATTAGGAGGAGGAGGAGGATGATGATGATGAGGAGGAGGAGGAGGAGGAGGGGAAGGAGGGGAAGGATGAGGAAGAGGAAGGAAGAGGAAGAGGAGGAGGAGGAGGAGGAGGAGGAGGAGGAGGAGGAGGAGGAGAAGGAGGAGGAGGAGGAGGAGGAGGAGACGGGGTCGGAGGACCGCGCCGCGTCGCCGATGCATCGGCGACGTCCGCGGTGCGTCGGCGCCGTCTGCGTGGAGCAACGCAGGCTTCGCATCGAGCCACATCGCTGGCGCATCGGCGATGCGGCGCGATCATCCGACCCCGCCTGCTCGGACCCCATCTGGGAGGCCTAGACATTGAGGGATGAAAAAACGACCCTACCCTGGGTTACAAGTGCGTGGTCTGTAAACCTCCTGGGACCCCCCAAAGCCTAGAGCCGCCAGGACGCGGCACATCACGCAGGGTTTACCCTGTCAGCCCACAGGAGTTTCAGCGCACAGCGCCTCGTAAACCAAGGTAGGGGCGTTTTTCATGCCCTCGAAGACAGGGAGGGTCACCACTTCGGTCAGGAACTTTTGCCCCGCGTGCCGCGGCGCGGCCCGGGCGGCACGCCGCGCCTTGCACGCGGATGGCGTGTGTCGCTCCGCTCTGCGGGGCGGGAGGCTGGGAGAGGCTCGGGACGCTGGTGCCTTGGAATGGGGACGTGGATACAGGCTTCGGAACAAATTAGCGAACACTCATGCCAAATTCATCTGTCAACGCCTCCCCCCCCCCAAATGTTCAAAGTTGGCGGTGGGTCTGATGAGATGCGCTTCGACCGCAGTGTTTTCCGCGCGTGCCAACATTTAGTTGGGGGGAGGGGGAGTGTTCAATAATTGTTTCCCTCTACCGTAGCGTGTCGCGCCGAAGGGTGGTGGGCTGGAACTGGCGGAGCGGCATGGTACGCCAACGTTCCCGACCACGAGGAACCAACAACGGCACAGGTCCGCGCGGAGTTCTTGGATCAGCGCTATAGACCCTGCGATGGAGGCACCGCCAGGAGGGCCCAGAGCCGATTAGAGAACTCCGCGCGGAGACTTTGAGAAAGCATGTGCACATGCCGTCTTATCGTGCCTCGAATTTCTTCCCCAGGCCCTCCCCGAGCAACCCCCAACGTCCAATGGCCTCCTCGAGCTTCGCTCTTGGAGTCTCGATCCTCAGGGGGACCGCTCTTTTCTTCTCTGAGCAGCAGTCGTTACCGGAGGGGCCCAGGGGGGGGTGGTCTCGGGCGGGAGGGTCACGGTCACGGCGGCCGCGGCGTGCACTCGCCAGCGCGCGTCCGCTCCACTGGCGCAACAATCGCAGGTGCACCAAAGCATGTTTAGGGGTAAAGGGGGGGTGCTCCGGGCCACCCGCCCCATGAAGATCGTTAGCGCTACCCCTGAGAGGGGGGGGGGGGGGCGGGGAACGAGGCGTCACCCTGGGGAGGGAAACAACCCAGACCCCCGACGTCGAGATTTTCTCGCAACGTCGACTCCCAGAGGTCTGGACGCCTTCCCCGGGAACGGCTTTCCATCCCGAGCCGTTTTCTGACGGCCCCGAGGCCAGGCAAGGGCCCCCGGATGCCAAACATGGCGCAAAACCTCCCGTCGTGGAGGAGGAGGAGGAGGAGGAGGAGGAGGAGGAGGAGGAGGAGGAGGAGGAGGACGACGAAGTTTGGGACCTGGTGACCCCCCTGGAAGTGACCCCTCTCGGTGCTGCCCGAGGCAGGCGCGTGTGCTGGACAGGGGGGGCCGCGGGAGTCCCGCGGGGCCCCCGCTGGTGACCGCCGGCAGGCGCCCCTGCCAAGTGTCGGACCGGGCGAAAGGGGGGGATAGCCAAGGGGGGGGCGTTTGAGAATCCGCCCACGCAGCCGATTTCCGCGGCGCCTCCCGGCGCCGGGAGGCGCCCATGCATCGAGGAACGGGCCCCTCGGCGAGGCCGAAACCAGCTGCATGCAGCAAATGCCGCAACGCCCCTCTCCCAATATGCCCCCCCTCCCGTCCGGCCCGAAAGTGGCAGGGCATAGGCCTAGGCAAGAGCTCTGGTCGGAGGAGGACCCGTCGAGACCACGGCGGCCGTCCCTGGCGCATTCTTCTGCGATGTCTGGGGGCCTCCCGGAGGCTTTCCGGGGGCGCGCAGGCATGGACTAGCGATCCATGGATTCGGCGCGCGGTCGACGAGTCCATGGATGAAGGGGAACTGGGACACACAAATAAATACACACAAATAAAAATATCCCCCATATTTTCCCATATTTTCTGGGTTTTTGTCTTCCCGCCCAATTCCCATATTTTCCCATATTTTCCTAAAAATCGACGAATAATTGTGTCTGTGTGTTTTTTCCCCTCCTGAATGGATCGGAAGAGGTGCCCTCCCCAAGATGCCGCCGGCGCCGCTTCGGTCGGCGGCGGAAGCCCGCGGTCTCCAATGGAAGCGGGACCCGTCGCTGATCCACGCCCCCCCAGTCCATGTTCGCGATCGCCGGAGCTCTTCTCGTCGTCACGGCTGGATCCGCCTCGAGAAACGAGTCGGCTATACGCAAGAGTGGCCCTGGGTAAGAGTGACCTTTGGTGCGCGACTTTTTGGGGGCCGCGGGGGGGACCAAACCTGGGTGCGCAAGCAACTGCTACTGCTTCGTTTTCGGCCATCTGGGTACCCATCCGTGCCCGCACCAAAGGTCACTCCGGCGAAAGGTCACTCTTACGTCTAGTCGAACGAGGTCAGGATGGATCTCGGGAGGAGGGGTCCGGGGACCGATGCCGAGCGCATTCTGGGCCGGGCGGGAGAGCCGCCGTGGTCTCCACTCGCGCGCCCCTCCGATCTGGATGTGCAGCGCCTGCCCTCCTCCTCCTCCTCCTGCTCCTCCTCCTCCTCCTCCTCCTCCTCCTCCTCCTCCATCTCCTCCTGCTCCTCCTCCTCCTCCTCCTCCTCCTTTTTTCGAGGCTGCACGGCTGGGGCCAGAGCACCTGGGGTCGGAGGATCCGCCGCGTCGCCGGTGGATCGGCGACGCGTCAGCGACGCCAGCACGGAGGCCATCGGGCGCTGGGCCGCGATGCATCGCTGGTGCGGCGAGATCTTCCGAACCCATCTGCTTTGGCTCGATTTGGTGCGCTTGATCCTTCCCATCCTTCGGTGGCAAATCATTGGAGCCTCCCATGCCATGTTGCTGGCTCTTGCGGATCGACGCTAACCGACGCTAACCGACGCTCATCGACGCTCATCGATGCTACATCGATGTTGATCGACGCTACATTGGCGCTTTCTTATCGACAAGTAGACGCTAGCGCATGCAAATGAATTCGAAAAGCGGAATTACGAGGACAAGCAAGGCTCTCATGGTTTGGAACCGAACCATCCACCTCCACCTCATCGAGCACGGAGCCCCCTCAAGCAAGACTGTGCATGATCAGGGCCGCGAGCCCCGCCAAGAAGCCGAGGCCGAGGTGCCCGTTTGCAGCGCTGTCCCACGTGCACTGCATGCGCTCGCTGATGACCGGGCCCACCTGCGTCACGATGTCGTCGGAGGCCTCCTGCAGCGCGGCCACCTGTATACAGTCAGCGTGCCATCATTAGGTTTAAGTCGGGCCTGTCCACCTGCAGGGGGATTTTCGACGAAAAATAAAAAATACACCAAACATGCGCAAAACATAATCCAAAAATAGTCTGGGGATTATTTTTGAGTATTGTTTGACCTTTTTGGGTATTTTTTTGTGGTATTTTCTATTTTTCGTCGAAAATCCTCCTGAAGGGGAACACGCCCGACATAACATTAGGTCGGCATGTCATTCTACAAGCGAGTCTTGCAAGAAGAATCAAGCCTAGCCGGAACATATTCAAACAAAGTCAACAAACAGATCAGTAGTATCTTCCCCATACTTTTTCGTTGCAAGTTTTGAATATCCCTCCTGTCGAGGGACGTGCCCGACTTCATGCTGTCACGAGGAACGCCGAGCGAGGAACGACACGGCTCCTCTGTCGGGAGCGGCCAAGAGGGGGGTGTCCAAGAGGGGAGGGGTGCAAATCATGACCGGCGGCACGTGCGCGTCCCAGCGGGAGGGCCAGGGACGTCACGAAACAAGAGGAGGCGCCATGAGATCTGGGGAAATATCATGGCCGCCCGCCATGATATCCACCCCCCCTAGTCATCAACCCCCTCTTTTTTCCGCCCCCGACTCTGGAGGAGGAGGAGGAGGAGGAGGAGGAGGAGGAGGAGGAGGAGGAGGAGGAGGAGGAGGGGGAGGCGGAGGAGGAGGAGGAGGAGGAGGAGGAGGAGGAGAGGAGGAGGAGGAGGAGGAACGCCGGGAGAGGAACGACGCGTCCTCCCCACGGCCACGGCGGGCCGCGGTGACGACTGGCCTCCCCGACGTGTCCCAAGAGCCTCACAGGACCGGCCCGCAGGGCCGGGGCCCCCGGCTCCGAGCACGGAGCGGTCCTTCTCTCTCGGCGCCTCTTGCCTGCAGAGCACAAATCGGAGGCCGAGAGGTTGGCACCATCGCCAGGATCGGCGGGCTCCTCCTCCTCCTCCTCCTGCTCCTCCTGCTCCTGCTCCCCCTCCTCCTCCCCCTCCTCCTTCTCCGCCCCCCCCCCCTCCAACTTCTCCCCTTCTCAGCGTCTTGCCTGCAGAGGCACGGTCGGAGGCCGAGAGGTTGACACCATCGCCAAGATCGGCGGGGTGCCTTCACAGAGGGGGGATGCTCCTGATCTCGGCGATGGTGGGCATACTCGGGCTCTCGCAGTGGCCGACCTGTTGCCACCAACACCAAAATCTAGGATCATCTCACCCCTGTGGAGGAGGAGGAGGAGGAGGAGGAGGAGGAGGAGGAGGAGGAGGAGGAGGTGCTGGTGCCCTTTTCCAGCACCGGCCCGCAAACCAGAGCCCCTCCCGAGCACAGAACGGTCCTCATCTCAGCGTCTTGACTGTGCAGCCGGACCGTATCGTACCGACGCGCGAGAGGGATGCTCGGACGCCCATCTCGAAGCCTTTCGAGCGGGGCGCGGCCGACGAAGGTGGCCAAGGATGGGCCGACGAGGCAAGGATGCAAGGGTACCCTGGGGCGCGTTCTAACCAGGATTTCGAGGCGAATCCAGCGGTGGCGACGAAGGCCTCCCAGGAGGCCCCAACAGGGGAAAAAACGGCCGAAGGGTAGAGGTATGGGTACCTTCCCTCCTCTGATACCCTTGGGACGGCTGCCCACCCTTACCCTGCGGCCTGACTGTAGAGTTATGTCGGGCGTGTCCCCCTACAGGGGGATTTTCGACGGAAGCAAAAACCCCGCAAACTGCCCCAAGAAGGCAAAACAGATTCAAAAAATAGTCCCCGGACTATGTTTGGATTATTTTGTGACTATTTTTGGGGGTAATCTCTATTTTTCGTCGAAAATCCCCCTGCAGGGGGACAGGCCCGACTTGACTGTAGAGAGCCACGGCCGCATCAGCACAAACCGCCGGAGGTCCGCGCGTACTCCCTCGGGGCCGGCGCCCGCCTCCTCGGAAGGGGCCCAGGGACACACGAGCAAATGTACACAAATCCCAGGATTCCCGATATTTTCATTTTTTATCGACTTTCGTCCTCCCCCCACTTCCCATAGCTTCGCACATCTTCTGGGGGATCGACGATGAACTGTGTCTGTTTTTTTTGTTCCCTATGTTTTTTGCACTGCTTCAGGGGAGCGTCTGGAACCAGAGATGCATCAAGGAAAAATCCGCCAGTACGATTGGGCGACACATGCACGTGAGAGTGTGCCACCTGCAGGCACCACGGCTCGGCAGAACCCGTCAGAGAGGCGCCTACTCGTTCAGGCTCACGGGTGGCCTGGGCCCTGTTCGGCCACCTGGGCCGGGAGAAGAGGGCAGGAGAGGAGGGATCTGTGGCTGACGCCAGCCTCGTCAGCTTCCCTGAGCAGCGGCGCGCCGGGCCGCCCCTCCCCCTGGCGCCGCGCGCGGCGCGCCGTGGGCCGCGCCGGGGGGCGCCGCGCCGAGAGGGCGCCCAGCGCCCGAGGAGCCCGCGAGGGCCCTCCGGAGGCACTGCGGGTGGGATCTGGATCGAGGGGTGGGCGACTGGCCCTCCGACGGAGCTTGCGCATCCCCCTCCCCTCCTCCTGCTCCTGCTCCTGCTCCTGCTCCTGCTCCTCCTCCTCCTCCTCCTCCTCCTCCTCCTCCTCCTCCTCCTCCTCCTCCCCCTCCTCCTTCTCCGCCAACCCCCCCTTCCACCCGTGCCGACAGCACGTGCCCAACCCCCCCAGCAGATCCCAAAGGGGGGCGATATTTCTGCCCCATCCAGAGTGATATGTTCGTGCAGCTTTTTGTGTTCCGAACCTGGGTCGTCGCGAGGGACATGAAGTCCTTGACCAGATCGATGACCTCGGGAGTCATCGGGTAGATCTTGCTCATGTGCGGCAGCATCAGCTCGGACAGCTGCCAGACGTTGTGGAAGGTGGTGTGCATGCTGGAGAGCTTGACGTTGTAGGTTGTGATGTTGGTCATCAGCCCAGACACCTCAGCGCATGCCGTTGCCTGATCCGCAGTGGCAAGACTGCTGGCGTTCATCCTTAGCGGGATCGCCTGAGAGCGCATCTGCTTGATGATGGGGAAGAAGGCCGTGCGCAACTCCTTTGGCATGACGACGTTGATGTCCCTGGCAACCTTCTCCGCATCGGCAGCCATCGCCCTGACGCGGAAAGACGCCTCATGGAAATACCGCGTCATCAGGAACGACAACTCTACGTCGGATGCCTTGGCAGATGCCGTCACGAACTTCGTGGTCTTGCGGCGGGTGATGTTCAGGAAGTCCTGGACATCGGTCGGGCATGTCCCCCTACAGGCGGATTCTGGACGAAAAATAAAAAATCAAACGATGCTAGAACATAGTCAAAAAGCTCAAAACAATTCCCCAAACTATTTTTGAGTATTCTTCCTGTAGAGGGACAGGCCCAACTTCATCCTGGACGGTGGTCGCGATGTCGATCTTTGCCTTGCTGACGCGCTTGCTGAAGAGCGGGTTCTGCACGGCCTGGGGGAGGGCCATGAGCACGTCCATCATCAGGCCGAGGGTGAAGTCGCCCATCAGCTGCGCAAACTCTCCGCTCTGGCCGTGCGCGGACACCAGAGTCTGCGCTTTCTTGATCATTGCCTCCTTAGTGAGGCGCCTGGCATTCGCTCTCTCCTCGATCGCCTTCTGCTTCAGCTTCTTCTTCTCCAGTATGGCCTGTCGTCGCCTCTCCGCCTCCTTGCGCAGATCCTTCATGGCCAGGGTGGCTTCCTGCTTCGCAAAGTCGAGCTCCTTCTGGTGCGCTTTGAAATTTCGGAGCACCCCCTTCAGCTCGTTGGTCTTCCGCTTAAAGTCCTCCTGCAGCAACGGGATGATCACGTCCAGAGCGGCGGTCCTGTTGTCCGTCTCCCAGGGCTGGCGCACCCGAGTGCCGTTTTTGCGCCTCTTCGGCTTGTACTGCTCGACCTCCTCCAGCAGGTCCCCCAGGTTGACGCCGTCGGCCAGCTCGCCCCCGTCCCCGTAGTTCTCGTCGACGAACCTGTCGAAGGAACTGGCCGTGTAGTCGGCCTCGATCAGGTCGCCCCCGGTCTCCCGACGCGCATCCTGGCTTTCGATGAGGCCCTCGCCCTCGATCAGGCCGCCTCCGGCCTCCCGGAGCTCACCCTCCTCGTCAAAGAGGCCGCCCTCGAGGTTCACCCCGCCGCCGCTGGGTGACAGCGCGGAAGCGGCCAGCGCGAAGCACGCAACCAGGGCTGCTCTCATCGTGCCTCGAGTGAGGCTGGTGGGTATTGGATTGTGCTACGAATGATGGTAGTGTGCGATGATTTGGGTCCTCAATCTCAAACCCAAATCACCACGAACGAAGGAGAGTTGCCGGAGACTCGCATGCAATCTCGTCACAAAGCTATTGCGCGCCGAAGGGGTATGCTGTTCTGTCAGTTCGAACAACCTCGGGTCGACGAACCAAGTCCGTCCCTGGTCGATTGGCTTGTTGAGAGGGCCAGGGTCTGAGGTCGAGCCCGCCCTGCACGTGCTTTGGTCGGCACACATCGAACTGGACATGCCTGAAGGGGGCGAAATATTGGAGGCCTGGAAATTGACACCAACACCAACACAGGGGGTTGCCTCGAAAGGGGGAAGATGATCCTCGATTTCGGTGTTGGTGGCATTATTTCGGTCACCTTGGAAGCCAGAATATGACCAACATCACCGAGATCGGGATCTTCTTCCCTCGGTGGAGGCACACCGCAGACATTGGTAATGGTGTCAACGTCTAGGCCTGCGAAAATGCACAGCCGCTCTCCCGCTCGACCGCAGGCCATACCCCCGTTTTTCAGGTATGGCCGATCTGCCCGTTTCTCCCTCGCTTCCTCGATCCTCGACGACTCCTCGATCCTCTATTCCTCGACTCCTCGAGCCCTCGATCCCTCGAATGTAGCCCAACAGTGGTGCAAAGGGCTAGTGGCTGGGGCAGAACGGCAGAACCCCCCCCCACATGTCCTGGTACCCAGACCCCCTCGCGATGCAAACAAAAAACACAACGGGAACATTTTCTCTATTCTCGGCCTCCGGGGGCCCTTCCCAGGCCTCGGTACCATCAAACAAACGACTCAGGATGAAAACCTGTCCCAGAGAAGTGGTCCAGACCTCTGGGGGTCGACGCTGTGAAGGAATCACGACGCCGGGAGTCTGAGCAAGTCGCGTGTGGAATTGCAAGCGAAAGAGGCGGCGCGGCAAGCGCACACCCACCCAGGCCTGCAATAGTGTCATTGGCTATACTTCTGCGTTCGATGTACTTTCTAATTCTATTACACTTACGATTCCGATTCTCGTTCCTCATTGCTACATGCTGTTAATCTGCCACAGCACGGGTCGATACGCACCACATCCGGAACGTCACATCCGACCTGTCAAACACAGAACACCATCAAGGTTTTTCGGTTCAGCATGGGCATCACGTCGTTCAGATTGCACACTGCGTAGCAATAGTGGGACGCAGCGCGCATCGCGCGCGAAAAACAAACATGTTGTTCTCGCCATGGCTCGGGAGCGGCCAAGAGGGGGGTGTCCAAGAGGGGGGGGTGCAAATCATGACCGGCGGCATGTGCGCGGCCCAGCGGGGGGGCCTGGGACGTAATAAAATGAGAAGAGGCGCCATGAGATCTGAAGACAAATCATGGCCCGCGCCATGAAATCCCCCCCCCTAGTCATCACCCCCCTCTTTTCCGCCCCCGACCTTGGCGCCGCGCTCCGTTTCTCTAGAGAGTCGGGCTCCCGTTCCAAGCACGGCGCTCACCTTTGCGCACGCAATTCCTCGTCGACGCGCGAGCGACGAGCATGTCGCCGTGACAGGTGGCGCTCCCGCTTCGACGCGGCGCACGTATCTCACTCGCCTCCTCCTCCTCCTCCTCCTCCTCCTCCTCCTGGCGCTCCCGCTTCGACGCGGCGCGCGTATATTTCCCTCGCCAAGTTTTGTGGGGGGCCCGCGCGTTTGGAAGACTTTTCGGGCTCGCCCATGTTCCGTGCGCGGTTCGCCCGGCAGTGGCGGTCCCACGCGGGCGCGGCCGCCTGGTTCCCTTCGCCCCACCGCTCCGACACGACAACGGCACCGTCGACGTCTTCGAGTCGACGGCACGACGTTGTCGACGTCGACGTCTTCGAGTTCGACGAAGACGTCGTTTCGACGTCGACAACGTTTTCGACGTCGACAACGACACCGGCACCGTCGAAAACGACGACGTCGACCGTCGACCGTCGACGAGAGCGGGCGAAATGGCGACCACGCCCAAGCGCCGCACAGCGTGGGAGTGAGAATGACAATGCTGTGCCAACGCTGCGTCTTCGTCGCGTTCATCGGAAACGTTGCCGCTCCCGCCCCTGCGCGGCCCGCAGAGCTTTCTCTTCGCCAAGTCGTCGGAAACAAAGGCCGTTCGCGAGCACGCTCCGTTTGCGAGGTGGGGGCGCGTTTCGATCCAAATGCCAGATGGTGCCACATGTTTTTTTGTTGGAGCGAAGGGGGCGAATTCCCGCCTGAGCATGGCGCGTATTTTTCGCACGCGACCTCGTCGACGCGTGAGCGGGCGAAAACGGAGCTCCCGCCTTGACGCGGCGCACTATTTCACTCGCCAGGTTTGGGAGGCCCGCGCGGATGGGCCACTTGTCTCGCTCGCCCGAGCTCCGCGCGCATTTCGCTCGGAAGTGGCGCTCCAGCGCGAGCGCGGCGTATGGTTCCTTTCCAAAAGCGCATGAGAAGAGGCAGCGGCCGCGGGGCCGCGCGAGAGCAGGCGGAATGCCGATCACGCCCTGGCGCCGCGCAGCTTGTTCGTGAAAGCGGCAGTGCTGTGCCAGCGCGGCGCACGCTTCGTCTTCCTCGCGCTCATCGGGAACTTTGCCGCTCCCGCCCCTGCGCGGCCTGCGTGACTTTCTCTTCGGCAATGCGTCCAAAGCGGGGCCTCGCGCGAGCACCTTTCCGACTGTACGGTGGGAGCGCATCCCAGTCCCAAACCAGAGTTGTGCCACAACTGATTCTTATGTTGTGGGAGGAAGAGTGGAAGTAAGCGGGCCCCTCTGGGTCCTTCGACCTGGCAAACCCGACATGTACGTTTCCTATTCCTCTTACTCTTCCTCTTACTCTTGTTATTAAACTTAGCCTTGCTATTACTACGGCTACGACTCCTACTTCTACGACGACAGCGACGACAACTATTCGTATTAGTACACATACTCGTACAAAATACTCGTGCTAGTACTAGAACTAGTACTTGTGCTGCTGCTGCTGCTACGAAAACCACTGCGGCCCTTTTACGAATGCTACTACTGCTGCTGTGTATTAGTTCCAGGCGGCGACTGCTGCCACTACCACTACCGCTACCACTACCACTACCACTACTACTACTACTACTACTACTACTACTACTACTACTACTACTACTGATTCTACGACTACGACTACTACGACTACTACTACTACTACTACTACTACTACTACTACTACTATTACTACTACTACTACTGCTACTACTACTTCCACTACTACTACTACTACTACCACTACTACTACTACTACCGCTACTACTACTACTACTACTACTACTGCTACTACTACCGCTGCTACTACTACTACCACGACTACTGCTACTACCACTACTGCTACCACTACTATGACGACTACTACCACTACCACTGCTATTCTGCTGCAGCTGCGAGTACTACTACTTCGTTAAAAAAACTACTACTACTACTACTGCCACTACCACTACTACTACTACTACTACTACTACTACGACGACGACGGCGACGACTACTACTACTACTACTACTGCCATGGTCACTTCTACTACTACTACTACTACTACTACTACTACTACTACGTCGACGACTACTCCTACTAATACTACCAGTGCTACTAGTGCCACCACCACCACCACTACGACTACTACTAATGCTACTACTACTTCTTCGTCTTCTTCTACTACTACTGGTACTACTACTACTACTACTACTACTACTACTACTACTACTACTACTACTACTACCTACTAGTGCTAGTACTAGTACTACTACTACTACGACTACTACTACTAGTACTACTACTACTACTACTACTTCTACTACTACTACTACTACTACCACTCCTACCACCTACTACTACGACCACTGCTGCTACTATTCCTACTACACTACAGCGACTACTACAACTACTGCTGCGACTAGTACTCCTGTTCCTAATTCTACTCCTACTCCTACTCCCACTACTACCACCGCGACTACGACTACTACCGCTACTACTACTACTACTACTACTACTACTACTACTACTACTACTGCTGCTGATATTACTGCTGGTACTACTACTACTACTACTACTACTACTACTACTACTACTACTACTACCACAACTGCAACTACTTCTACGACTACGACGACGACGTCGACGACTACTACTACTACGGCTGCTACGAGTACGACGACGACGATTACTATTACTACTACTACTACTACTACTTATACTACTACTACTACTACTACTACGACTACTACTACTACTACTACTACTACTACTACTACTACTACTACTACTACTAATGCTACGCTACTGCTAATGCTACTGCTACTGCTGCTACTGCTACTGCTACTACTACTACTACTACTACTACTACTACTACTACTACTACTACTACTACTACTACTACTACTACTACTACTACTACTACTACGACGACTACTACTACTATTACTACTACTGCTACTACTACTACTACTGCTGCTACTATTTACCACTACTGCTACTACCAGTACTACTACTACTATTACCACTACTACTACAACTATTGCTACTACTATTACTACTACTACTACTACTGCTACTACTACTACTACCACTACTACTACTACTACTACTACTACTACTACTACTACTACGACTACTACTACTACTACTACTACTACTACTGCTGCTGCTGCTACTACTACTACTACTACTACTACGACCCCTACTAGTACTTTTTTAATACCACTACTAGTACCACTACCAGTACCACTACCACGATCACTGCCGCAGCCACAACCACTACCACGACTAGTACCACTACCACTACCACTACAACTACCACTACCTACCAGTACCCCTCCCCCCACCCCTAACCCCCACCCCTACCCTACGCTTCCCTATCCGCCCCGCCTTCCCAACTGTAGGAAGCAACTGAAACTCAACTTTTCTTCTAACCAACATGTCGTCGAGTTGCGAAACGTGTAGCAGGAATGGGATGTAATGAACATCGTTTGGGGGCCCTTGAGCGGGTGGTCGCGTCCTACCTATCAGAAAACAATATCAACGTTTTTTCTTGACAACGTTGACTTTCTTGTCGTCGACGCTGCGAAACGTGTGGCAATAATGGGACGCGGCGCACCTCGCGCGCGGACGCCTGTCTCCTCGTCGGCGCTGCGAATCGCGCAGCGGGAATGGGACGCGGCGCACATCGCGCGGGGACGCCTGATCGTCAACATGGACTTTCTTGTCGTCGACGCTGCAGTCCGTCGGGTTGAGGAACTGGGCGGGCGGCAAGTCATAATACCTCAAGCAAGTGCGGTTCGCCGCTGGCGCGCATGGCTGGAATGAGACGCGGCGCACTTCGCGCGCTCGACATGTTGTCGCCGACGATGCAACATGAAAGGCTGGAGCGGAGCGCGGCGTACATCGCGCGCGGTCTTGTTTCTCGTCGACGTTGCTCAACACGCGGCAGGAATAGGACGCAGCTCATGTCGCGCGGTGAACGTCTAGCCGCCCACGATATAAGATGAGCGACAGGCGTCGGACGCGACGCACTTGCTTCTTATGTTGTGGGCGGGCGGGTGGGAGTGGACGGAGCCCTCTGGCTCGTTCGAGCTGGCTAACTTGCCCCCTACCCCTACCCTGCCGCCACCCCTACTCCTACCACTACCACTGCCACTGCCACTACCTTTCCTCAATCCTGAGGTTTCTTCAACGGGCCCGGCCCCCAAATTCACAAATCCGGGGGGGAAGGTGGGGGTGGCGCGGCTTCTCGGGTGATTTGTTCGGGCTCAAGGGGGCCCCAAGACGGGCCAAGAGGGCCCCAAGAGGCCCCTAAGACGGTCCAAGCGGGCCCCGAAATCGCCGTACGATCGGCCCAATACGCCCAAAGTGGCCTCAAGACGGCCCAAGAAGCTTTGGAGGTGCCCAGAGAGAGCCCCGAGAGCCTTCCCGAGAGGGCCCCGAGAGGCCAAAATCATTGGTTCGACCTTTCGAATTCCCGACACTCCAAGGCGGCCCAAGAGGCCCCAAAGACCGCCCCAAGACGCCCCCAGAGAGCCCCAAGGCGGCGCAAGAGGGCTCCAAGGCGGCCCCAGAGGCGCCCAAGATTGCCCAAGAGTGCCCAAAGACAGCGCCAAGAAGGGCCCAAGAGGGGGAACACTATCCGAAAATCCGAGTTTCGCCCCAAGAGGCCAGCAGGAGGCCCAAAGGCGGCCCAAAGGAGGCCCCGAAAGGCCCCCAAACGGCCCCCAAGCGGCCCCCCCCAAAGGCTTCAGAGCGGCCCGCCAGCTGCCCCCGACAGGCTGCCCACAACATCTCATCGGACATCCTGAGAGGCCGATGGCCCACAGCCCAGGCACGGCGGCGGGATGGGCCGAAAGCCGCTCGATCCGCCGCCCCCTGTTGGCTTGCCACAGGGGCGCCCGGCGTGCCAGATGTCCTGAGGGGGCGGCTCTGTTTTTTTAACAAACAAGGCTCCCCCTGGTGCTTCGGCCCAGCGTCGGCCACCCGGAAGGGACCGGAAACAACCTCACGTCCGGGCGAAGTCCCCCAAGACGGCTCAAGATGGCCTCCAAGAGGGCAAGATGGCCTCCGAGTTCCACCAAGAAGGTCCAAGATGGCCTCCACGACGGCCCAAGAGGGTCCACGGTACCTCCAAGTCCGCCCCAGAAGCCTCCAAGTCCGCCCCAGAAGCCTCCTAAGAGGCCCCCAAGAGACCTCCAAGATAGCCCCAGAGGCCTCCAAGAGGTCCTCCAGGAGGGCCCCATTTTCGGGCCCTCCTGGAGGACCTCTTGGAGGCCCAAATCAATGATTTTCCTTTTTGTTTTTGAGCGATTTTGGCATTTGCTTCTTTTCGACCTTCCGACGGCCCAAGACGGCGAAAGAGGCTCCCAAGGTTGCCCCAAGAGGCCTCCAACATGGCCCCAGGACGGCCCTAGAGGCTCCCAAGACGGTCCCCAACGGGCCCCAAGGCAGCCCAAGAGGCCTCGAAGAGGCCCAAGATGGCCTCCAAGACGGCCAAGAAGCGCTCCTGGAGGATCCCGAATCGGTTCAGAGAGGCATCCAAGACGGCTTCCGACGGCGTCAGACGGGCAAGGATCGCCCTAAGACGGCCAAAGCGGCCCCGAACAAGCCCCCAAAGGCTGCCAAGAGGCCCAAGGAGGCCCCGAAGAGGCCTCCAAGAGGCCCCCAGGAAGCTCCCAGGAGACCCTCAGAGTACACCAAGAGGCTTGCAAGAGGCGTTCTCCTCCTCCTTGTCCTCCTCCTCCTCCTCCTCATTTTTCCTTCTTCTCCTCCTCCTCCTCCTCCTCCTCCTCCTTCTCCTCCCCCACCTGTTCCCCGAAAGGTTTCAACGACAGCTGGGAGAACACATGGTCCGATAGCTCTGGCCCAACTTTCGGCCACACAGGCAAGGCAAGGTGCGGCGGTTTTCGCCGTAGGCGTCTTCGATCCGCCGCCCCCTGTTGGCTTGCCACAGGTGTGCCCTGCGTGCTGGACGTTCTGAAGGCTGTTGTTTCTTTCAGAACTCTCCCTGGGCCTTCGGCACATCGCGCCGGCTGCCTGTCTCATCGGCTTTTTCGCTTCAGATGGCTTCAAGCTGGCCTCCAGGGTGGTCAAGATGCCTCCAAGACGGCCGAGATGGTCCCAAGAGAGCCAAAACTAACCCCAATATTGCCTCTAAGACGGCCCCAAGATGCCTCCAAGACCGCGAAGATGATCCCAAAGAGCCCAAGACGGCCGAAGAAGCGCCCAAGAAGCGCCTAAGACAGCCCAAGAGGCCTCCAGAAGAGGCCTCCAGAAGGGCCCCCAGGAAGGGCCGAAGAGGCCAAAATCATTGATGTTCCGAAAGTGGTTGAAGATTCTGTTTTTTCCATATTTTCGGTTCCCTAGACGGCCCAAGAGGCCCCCAAGATAGCCCCAGATCGCCGAATAGGCCTCGAAGATGGCCCCACGACGGCCCACGAGGCCCCCAAGACGGCCCCAGGACGGCCCAAAAGGCCTCCAAGACGCTGAGGCTGGCCTCCAAGACGGCCATGAAGCGCCCCAAGGTCCCCAAGTCGGTTCAGAGAGGCATCCAAGACGGCCTCCGACGTCGTCAGACGGGCCAGGAACGCCGTAAGACAGCCAACGAGGCCCTCAAGAAGCCCCGAAAGGTCCCCAAGAGGCCCAAGGAGGCCCTCCAGGCCCAAAGGCTACAGGAAGCTCCCAGGAGGCTCCAAGAGGCCTCCTTCTGCTTCTCGTACTTCTCTTGCTTCCTCCTCCTCCTCCTCCTCCTCCTCCTCCTCCTCCTCCTCCTCCTCCTCCTCCTCCCCCTCGTGTTCCCCGAATTGATTCCACAACGGCTGGGGGAACGCATGGTCCAATAGCATAGCCAAACATTGCCCAAACGTTTGGCGTCGTAGGCGTATCCTAAAGGCAGGGGGCGGCGGTAATTCGCCGTAGGCGTCTTCGATACTAATGCTACGACTTGCACGTGCGCGCTACTGCCAGAGAGGGCGCCCAAATACAGGGTAAATGGTGGGAGCCAACTGGGATGGAGCCGGGCGTGGGTAGCATCGCTACCAGAGGAGAACTACGGCAATACACTTTGCCAAGTGGTGAGGACGAGGGGCGGACGCGAGTGCAACATCATCCCCAAGAGCAATACATGTAGGGTAGGGGGCTCGTGTTGGCGGTGCTGCTGCTGCTGCTGGTGTAGCTTCTGCTGGTGCCGATGATTATTTTGCTCAAACTCCTGATCATGCTCCTGCTCCTCCGCTCCGTCATGCATCTCCTCCGTCTCGTCCTCCTCGCGACTTCCACCATGACAACAGCAAACACGCTCCAGGATACGAGTGGGGCAAACGGCTGTCAGCTCCAGGGTGGGAGGGAAAGATCAGCGTGGACGGGGCAAGCAACAGAAGAACGGGTGCCCGAGCCCTCGTCACCACGCTGCCTGCACTCCCTGCCGCTAGAGCATCAGACCCTCCAATTCTTGAAATCGTTCGACGCGAGGATCACGGGGTACATGGTGCTGACCGGCTGGTCCCTGGACGGTGCGTCTCACAAGCGCAATCTATGAACCCACGCACTATCAGCCGTGGCCCCGATGAGACTACAGTCGAAACATGGCCACAAGAACTCGCGTCCACAACAAGAGCCCGCTCGCCAAAGGTTCATTGCCCCATGGCCATACTCGAAACGAAGAGCATTCCGGGGTGGAGAGCCCCAGCACGAAGAACAGATAGGGTACACCTGGGGATTCTCTGCACCCCCTTCCAGCTGTCTGGCGAGCATCTGGGCGCAGATAGCGGGAACGGGGGCCGCTGACAAATCGTTGGTGCCTGGCGGGTCATGGCGTCCCGCGTCTGTGGTTCTGCTCCTCCTCTGGTGTCGTCAAGTCTTGCAGCTCACGGGGACTTCCCTCTTCTTGCTCCACTAACTTTCCTCTCACCTCAAGCCTCCGCACGGACAACGATAATCGCAAGATGCCTCTAGGACGCCCACACCAATGACTTGAGCAGAACCCAGCCGTGAAACCAATGATGCCCCCCCCTCCCTCCCCATGGGTGGCCACCGCAAGAATTCAAATTCGCCACTGCGATTCGTGTCATAATTTTCCGGTGGACCTGCAACTACCTGAACGGAACTTATTGACGCAAATATGACTTGTTTCCGCCATGCTGTTCCTCCTCACCCTGTCGCATGAAGGAGGTCACATGATTCGCTCCGAAGTGTTAACGTGCTGTGGATTGGATGAAGAACGACGGCCAGAATCCTTTGGCGGACCTGCACGGCAAAACTATCGCATACTGCACGCGTCGCCGAGACACAGATACACCAGCGAATTAGTAGTGAAACAACTGCAGGCGGCAATCCTAAAACTCGCGTGTCGGCCTCTGCTGACTGATTTTGGTTATCCGCCCAGGCCCACACATGAAAACTCGGAGCCTCAAACCTCCAGTTCCCGAATTTGTTTCGGCTGAGACGGATGAGCCAGGAGGGTCTTTTCCTGGGCGTGGGCACGGACGTGCAATCGACAAAAAGAATGTCATGCAGCAAGTCATGCGAAACTGACATCGAAAAAACCGATCGGTTTGCGTATGACTCCCTGGCCACACTGCCCCATGCTCGAGCTCCCGACCCTTCCGTGTCTGTGCCACGAGATCAGCGTACGACATGCGGAGCATGATGTCCCACTGGTACATGCCCATCTTGTGATACTTGTCCTCAACGGATCGCAGGAGGGGCTTCGCCGCTGGGATTCGTGGGCGGGACGCGGCGGGACCAGCATCCTCTCCCCTCATCCTCATCCTCTGCCTCAGTCTTCTTCTCCGCCTCCGGCTCTTCCTCTCTTCGAACGCCAGTGTGACTCGCGCGCGCCGTTTTCCTGCACCAGCGGCGCTCAAAGGTAATGACAACTAACATGCCAGCTGTGTGACGCCATTTCCCTCCTCCGACGTCACGCTTGTTTATGACGCCGGCGCCTGGGGATCTCGTCTTCTCATCCTGAAGCGTTTTCTTCCCTAACCAGCAGCTGAGCTGACTGGGATGTGCTGTTGTGAGGAAGCCGCCACCGTGCCTCGAGGCACGAGTTGGCGTGTCCTCAGGTCCCTTGCTCCATCCCTGGAGCCTCGATCCCCAAGCCCCTGAGCCTCAGCCCCCAATCCTGAGACTGCCTCGGGGTCCAGACCCCAAATTCCACCGGCTCGGCGCGTGCCCCCCTGGGGCTCCCGGCGGGCTGTCGCGTGACTGCTCCGGTCCCGAGAGGGCCCCGAAGACTGGCCGAGAGGGCTCCCGAGAGGGCCCCCAAGACGAGCCGTGAGGGCCCCGAGTCACCGACAGATCGCAGCACGACGCCCAAGATGGCGTCCAGACGGCCAACGAGGCCTCCAAAACGCTCGAAGACACAGAGCCCCGAGAGGCACACTTTTTATATCGTGTTGTTTCCTTTTTCCTTGTGGGATTTTGAACGTTTTTGGCCTTGTCGCTTTGTCGGCTCTCCGACGATCCACGCCCGCCCAAGAGGCTCCAAATACTGCCACCGGACGGCCCAAGAAGCCCCCAGAAGGCCCCCAAGACGGCCAAAGAGGGCCCACCCCAAAACGGCGCTAGAGGCGCCCAAGACGGCCAAAGCGGGTCCCAAGATGGCCTGAAGAGGGGCGCAGGGAGTGGGACCACGAACCGAAATCCGAATCCTCCTCCTCAACAGAGCCCCCGGACTCTCCAAGAGGCGCCCAAGAGGCCCCAAGAGGCCCCCGAATGGCTCCTCCGGAAGCCTCAAAACTACATCCAAGAAGGTCCCGAAAGTCCTCGCACGAGATCCCGACGAACGTCCTCGAAGCCTCAGATCCACAACTCAGGCACGGTGGCGGGATGGGCCGAAGTCCATTCGATCCGCCGCCCCCTGTCGATTCATCGCAGGGGGGCCTGGCGTGATGGACCCTTTCGGTTTTGGTTTCGGTTCGTTTTCCCAAAGAACTCCCCCTGGGGCTTCGGCCCGTCCCGCCGGCCACCTGCAAGGATGCTGAAAGATTGCCCAGAAGTGGTTGCAAAGTGTTTTTCCGTTCCAGACGGCTCCAAGATGGCCCAGATGGCCTCCAAGACGCCTCCAAGACGGCCAAGATGGCCTCCAAGACGGCTAAGATGGCCCCAAGATGCCTCCAAGACGGCCCAAGATGCACCCACGACGGCCCAAGATGCATCCACGACGGCCTAAGATGGCCTCAAGATGGCCCAAAACGGCCCAAGAGGCTCCCAAGAGGCCGCCAAGACGGCCCAAGAGGCCTCCAAGAGGTCCTCCAGGAAGGCCCAGGCCCAAATCACTGTTTTCCCGTAAGTTTTGAAGGACGTTGGTATTTGCGCCTTTTCGGCTTTCCGACGGCCCAAGACGGCCCAAGAGACCCCCAAGGCCGCCCCAAGATCGCCCAAGAGGCCTCCAAGATGGCCCCATGACGGCCCAAGAGGCCCCCAAGACGGCCCCAAGAGGGCCCCAAGACGGGCCAAGAGGCCTCCAAGACGCCCAAGATGGCCTCACGGCCCCGAAGCGCCCCAAGAGGGCCCCAAGTCGGCCCAGAGAGGCCACGTCTCCCAACGGCGTCAGACGTGCCAGGAACCCACCAAGACGGCCGAAGTTGGCTCGAAGCTGGCCCAAGACGGCCCAAGAGGCCTCCGAGAGGCCTCCAGGAAGGCCGGAGAAAATCCTAAAACATATGTTTCCCTTAGGTGTTTGAAGTATTGTGGCATTTGCTTTTTTTCGGCCTTCCGACGGCCCGAGACGGACCAAAAGCCCCCAAAGATCGCCCAAAGATCGCCCAAGAGGCCTCCAAGATGGCCCCAGAACGGCCCAAGAGGCCCCCAAGACGGCCCCAAGAGGCCCCCAAGACGGCCCAGGAGGCCTTCAAGACGCCCAAGATGGCCTCCAGGACGGCCCTGGAGCATTCCAAGAGGGCCTCAAATTGGCCCAGAGAGACCCCCCAAACGGCTTCCGACGGCGTCAGACGGGCCAGGAGCCCACCAAGACGGCCGAAGATGGCCTTAAGATGGCCCAAGACGGCCCAAGAGGCCTCCAAGAGGGCCTCCAGGAAGGCCCGAAAAGGCCCAAATCATTGATTTCCCGAAGTTTTTGAAGGATTGTGGCATTTGCTTTTTTTCGGCCTTCCGACGGCCCGAGACGGCCCAAGTGCCCCCAACGATCGCCCAAGACGGCCCCAAGAGGCCCCCAAGACGGCCCCGAGAGGCCTCCAAGACGCTCAAGATGGCCTCCAAGACGGCCCAAGAGCCCTCCAAGACGTCCTCCAAGAAGGCCCGAAAGGGTCAAAATGGCCTCCAGACAGCCAAGATGACCTTCAAGATGCCCACGTGTTCCCCGAAGGTTTTCCAAACCGATTCGGGGAACACATGGTCCGATAGCTTGGCAGGTCTGGCCTCAACGCTCGGCCAAACAGGCGCGTCCGAAAAGGCAGAGGGGCGGCGGTGATTCGCCGTGGGCGTCTCCGATCCGCCGTCCCCTGCTGCCTTGCCAAGAGGGGTGCCCGACGGGCGGAATCCTATACGTCTTGGTTTTGATTACTTTTGCAACAAAAATCCCTGGGACTTTCGGCCCAGGGCGCCGGCCACCCAGAAGGGTCCCAAATGTCATCTCGCGTTGCTTGGATCGCCTCTGAGACGGCAACGATGGCCCAAGAGGGCCTCCAAGATGCCTCCAAGACGTCGCCAAGGCTGCCCAGAGGGCCCGAGATGGCCCAAAGGTGCGCTCAAGACGGCCCAAAGATGCGCTCAAGACGGCCCAAGATGGCTTCAACATGGTCCAAGACGGCCCTAGAGGCCCCCAACAGGCCTCCAAGGGGTCTTCTAGCAAAACAGGCAAGAACGATGTTTTACCTAACAGCGAAGACTGATAGGTTTCTAGTGGTCTCAAAAGAGAGCATCATGACTCCCCAGGGAGGTCCGGGCAGGATCCGGGGAGACTCCGCGGAAGTCGCTTTAAGCAAACAGTTGCACAATTCGTGGTCTTCGAGGTCCCAAAACTCCATTCCCGGGCCACATTCTGAATGCCTGGAGCCAACTGTAAGCCTCTTCGTGCTCTTCGAGTTCCCAGAACTCCATTCCCGGGCCACATTTTGAATGCCATGAGCCAACTGTAGGCCACTTTGTGCTCTTCGAGTTCCCAGAACTCCATTCCCCGGCCACATTTTGAATGCCCGGGGCCAATTGTAGGCCACTTCGTCGTCTTCGAGTTCCCAGAACTCCACTCCTGTGCATGATTTTGAATGCCAGGAGCCAACTGTAGGCCACTTCGTGTTCTTCAAGTTCCCAGAACTCCATTCCCGGGCCACATTTTGAATGCTGAGGCAGGCTGATGCTGAGGCTGAGGCAGGCTGAGGCTGAGGCCGAGGCTGAAGGCCGACTGAGGCTGAGGCTGAAGCAGGCTGAGGCTGAGGCTGAGGCAGGCTGAGGCTGAGGCTGAGGCAGGCTGATGCTGAGGCAGGCTGAGGCTGAGGCTGAGGCTGATGCAGGCTGAGGCTGAGGCAGGCTGAGGCTGAGGCTGA